CCAGTCCATATCAAGTCCATAAGTCAATATTAGCCCATATGCCCAATACCAATCTATAAATTCCTCTTCAGACTCAGGCAACACATGCCATAATGCCAAATGCAGGATGGTCACAGGCCAGTGGATTGGAAGTCTTGTGGATCCAATGGCATTAGAAGCATCTCAGCACTGGCAGGGGTCTCCACGTGACTCTTCCACTCCAAGGCTCTGACTGCCATCAGGCTGTCTCCATGTGTCTTGTCCACAGGAATGTCTCACAGGGAGTGAGCCTGTGTCCTGCCTCCAACGACCTATTTACCACCTTAGCGCCTCCAAATGAGGTCACTAAGCTGCGACCTGATTGACTGGCTAGACTCCACCCCTTCGCTCTTAAGCCTCTCAAATTGACAACAGATTATGTAACTACCACAACACAACGCTCATGAACTTTTAAGATCCCAATCGCTACTCACCAAAGGAGGATGTAGCTTACTGTCTCTGTGAACTATGGTAGGCTGGTTGACCTTGGTATATCCCCCATACACTTCATAGGATTGCCCATGTCTTTTCTTCCAAAATGACCCTGGGTGGGCGTGACCTACTAACGTCTTGGTTCACAATGCTAATCAATTACATTTCACAGACAGGGACACTGAGGTCGCCAGAGTGGGAACCGGTGTCCCAGGCCACACCTTGGAGTCAGGAACACTGCAGGAACTGGAGAGAGGTCACTTAGCGGGGAGTGCGACTTCCCGCCACCTGGCCTTGTCGCCATGGCGATGTTGCACAAGACCAGGCTGCTGGTTCTGCCTTCTGAGAGGAGCACCCTAATTTGAACCACACTTAGATCCCCATGCCCAGTCTCCTGGAATCCCGTTCCGAGGGTTGGGGGGGGGGGGCACGGAGAAGGGGCGGCTGCCCCATGCTCAGGGACGTGGCCTGGCCCCCTGGCTGACCTCACATGCCCTCTCTCCCTCTCCCAGATACAACGCAGATGGCCCCTGAAGGCAGAAAGGACGACCTTGTCCCACCCCTTGAGCTGTGCATCCGGACCAAGTGAGTCAGGGCATCTCTCAGCGTTCCCTTGCAAATCCTGCTCCCTGCCCCGAGTGGTTGGGTGGCAGGGCGGGAGGTGTTCAGGAGGCAGGAGGGAGGACAGGCTGCGGGTTCAGGCTCAGGTTGGGAGGCAAGGCCCCACCAATTTCAAAGACTGACTTGGGGTGCTTGCGTATGCGTGTACAGTTTTTGTGGTCCTGTGTAACGTGGAGGGGTAGCCGTGGCCAGAGCTTCCGAGGGTGTCTTATGGCTAGGGGTGCGAGCACATGGTTGTTGCTGGAGGCCCCTCTTCGCCCAAGGCAGCAGCCACCGTGACGGTGGGGAGGGCCGTTAGCCCAGAAGAGGAGGGACTGGTGGTATCCATTCACCTGGTGCTGTGGGGCATGTGAGGTGGGGCCTGAGCCACACAGCCTGGGCCGCTGCAAAGGGCTGGAGATAGGAGAAGGCAGCTGCTGTGTTTTCTGGGAACACTGCACAGAGGTGTCCCGGGGCCTCAGAGGCAGGCTAGGAGCCTCTGGCATCTCCAGCCCAGCCCCGTGTGCACTTAGCAGGGAGCGTGACACAGTTCAGACTGGAGGAGCGAATCTCCCAAGTCAAACCGTGGGTTTACCCCTGAGTTCACTGTGAACACTGTCGGGCCCAAGAAGGGCTGGGAAGCCCCAGCTCAGTTAGGCTTCTCCCAAAGCCTTCTGGGTAGTGACTCGGAGGCCTCCTGGTGCGGTGGGAGGAGCAGGTGTGGCAGGTGGAAATCTGGATCCTCAGCTCTCCTTCCGGAGCAACAGCAGGCCTGCTCGTGGTCACGCGCTGAGGCTTGGCGTGCGAGTCCAGGAGCCGAGCCCCGCTCCTGCTGCTCCCAAGCCGGGAGCTGTTGGCATTCACCCGGGCTCCTTGCCTTCTCGTCTGTACAATGGAGCTAACAGCAGTCGCTTGGCGTTGGCGTCAGGACGGGGGCACCAAGGAGAGGGCACCGGGGCAGGACTGTGGGCTCTGTAAAGGGTGGAGCTCCTGAGCATTTTGTCTCACCTAGGCCGGTCTCCGTGTCCCCGAGGGTGACACTGTTGGGGGCTGGAGTGAGGGCTGTGGTCCATGTCTGAGGCTGTGCCTCCGGCTGCCTCCGTCCAGGGTGGCTTCCCGCCAGCTGGAGGCCGTCCTGGAGCCCTTGAATGGGTCGGCAGGGACAGCAAGGCCTCCGTGTGTGGGTGGAAAGACCAGGAAGGGGAAGTGGGCGGAGCATCCTAGACGACAGCATGCCCTCGCGCGACGCATCCATCCGCAGACTGCAGGCCCGGGGCAGGCACAAAGCATTCCTGTAGTGCCACGTGTGCCCGGACTTCTTTCATCGGCAGGATTAGGGGCACATGCAGGTCGCTCTCCTTTCATGTACAAAGGGCCACTCATTCGCCGCGATGAGAGAAGGCGCAGCAAGGAGGGCAGCACAGGACACCGGCCTTGGCCCGACTGCGGGCAGCATAGGAGGCCAGGGCGCCCTTCCCACAGTCCGCTGTACAGCAGGCCAGCTGAGCAGGGTTCTGGACTGCCACCCTGCCTCTTTGGGACCCTTGCTGAACCGCTCTGTCTGTCTCTGTATTCTTCTTGGTGGGAAGCGCATACCCCCACCCCCAGGCTCTCTAACTTCCCCGTGTGGAGTGACTTCTCTGTTCCCTACCATCAGTTGTTGCTGACTTCCCTCCAGGCATAGGCCTGGGTCGTGGGCTTCTTGGGGTCAGTCCCAGTGGGCAGTGACTTGGGAATGACTCGGGGCACTGGCCGGTCCCTCTTTCCAGAGCTGGTGCGACAGGGAGCTCAGTCCAGAGACAGAGTTAAAGAAAGATGTGGCTAAGGGTCAGGACCCCCTCTCTCTTCTGCCAATGGCTCCCTCCCCTTCCCTAGGGCCTGTGGTGACTGTTATCTGCTGGTGACTTGGTCTCCGACTCATGGGAACCCCATGCCCCAGCCCATCCACTGGATTTCCATTGGCTGGTTTTTGGAAGTAGATCACCAGGCCTTTCTTCCTAGTCTGCTCTTGTCTGGACTCTCCCCTGGAACTTGCTCATCCTCACCGCAGGATACAAGCCTCCACGAGGGGGGCTGCTCTTGGGCATCAGCTGGAAATTGAACCCAGGACCCATGCATGGAAGGTGAGAATGTCAGGCTGGAGAGGCTGCCTGTGAGCCCTCTACCTGGGGCAGGTGTTTGAGCACGTGCATCACTATGGTGAGAGCTTGGGCTAGATGAAGCATCTCCCGAAATCTGCTGTGTTCCCTAACCCTTAACTGGGAGGAGAGAACCCTATTGTGTAGCACACACAGCTAGGTACAACCCCACGCAGGCCCACTGTGCAGAGGGGTTGCATATTTGGGCACCCTCTAGTCTCCTACAGTGCACCATTGGAAAGAATTAGCCCCGGTGGCCCCAAATGTGTGTCTTCATCAGAACCACCTGGAGAGCAAGTTAAGACCACTCACTGGTACCCTCCCCAGTGTTTCTGAATGCATGCGTCTAGAGGAGAGAGGAGAACTTGCATTTCCACTGAGTTCTCAGGTGCAGCTAATGGCTGCTGGTCCAAGGACCGCACCTGGAGAACAGCTGGGTGGCACAGAGGTTAAGCACTCAGGTACTAACTGAAAAGCTCAGGGGTTCATAGCCGCCCTTGGAAGATGGACAGCAACTGAGACTCCCACAGAGCGAGCTCTTCTCCTCTGTAATATGCAGGGCCACCGTGAGTGGACGTCTCTGCCAGCAGTGACTGGGCAGCTTGGCGGGTTGGCTGTAGGCACTGGCGAGGGCAGTGCCCAGCTTGCTGTCTTGGGAGAGTCCGGTATCGAGTGAAGGGCGGATCCCCCAGCCTCTGGCCAGCAGTAAGGCAGTGCACAGGGCGACTGTCTTCCTCGCTCCAGGCACTGCCCCCCCAGCTCCAGCCCCAGGTGGGAGTGCTCCATCCTCTGGTCACTGGCTGGCTGCCCATTCTGCTCCCATCACTTGCCCTGCCATGGTGAGTCTCCCTCGGCAACCGACGTGGCGAGACGTTCCCTCCCATTGTCCTGGGAAAAGCCTAGTGTGTGAGTGACTAGTGGGAACATTGCTTGCGCCCGCTGGTCCCCATCAGATAACATACCGCTGTAATGGGAAACAGCAGCCCAGTCTCCTGGAATCCCGTTCCGAGGGTTGGATTACAAAGGCTTCGCGTTTTGTTTTCAGCCCAAATTCTCAAACAGCTCCAAGTGGGGGGAGACTTGGGAAAGTGGCCTCCAAGGTCAGTGTGGTCTTCCCACTAGGGGAACGAGTGCTGCTGCCCCTAGGAGGGCCTATCTGGCCAGGAAGACCATTCACGGTGCCATAGTCTGGGTTCAGGTCCACGAGGATTCCCAAGCACTTTCTAAGTTTCCACTGGGCACTCCTGGGCCCCCTGTGGATCCTGCTGAGGGGCTGGGAGGTAGGAGAGACCAACCTGGGTGCACAGGTGAGGGACCTCTCCCATCCCTCAGCCCCCTGGAACCTCGGGACCAGGCCCTGTGGTAGAAACAGCTGAACAAGACTCAGTTCCCATCCTGGCCCAAGTCAGGCTAAAGCTAGGGAAGGTGCCCCACTCACCTTCCAAACCAGCCCACTTGCCCTGTAAGGACCCACACCCCTCCCCCTGGCCCCGCTCAGAGTCAACTGGCAGCTTAGTTGGACCCACAGAAAGACGCTTAGACAACACCCAGCAGAAGCAGTTGTGGTTACGTTAGGTCTAACTCAAGATGAGCTTATGTTGTCAGAGTAGAACGGTGTTCTGTGGGATTAGAGAAACCAACCAACCAACAACAAGCCCTTTCCACTGGGTGGGGTGGAGGCTGGCAGAGCAGATCCCCCGCCTCTGTTCAGCTGTTCACACACATTCTGTTTCAACTCACCCATGCCGTCCCCTCCATCCCTTATCTCACTTCTGCATCTCTCTGAACCCTCTGAACTTTGTCCTTGGGTAAATAGTGCTGCTTTTTATCTTTTGTTTGAAGTTGTTTTTTTATTATCATTTCATTGGGGCTCTTACAGCTCTCATCACAATCCATACATTCATTGTGTCAAGCACATTTGTACATATGTTGCCATCATCATTCTCAAAACATTTTCACTCTACTTGAGCCCTTGGTATCAGCTTCTCCTTTTTTTTCTTCTCTCCCTCCCACACCCTCCCTAGAGCTTTACGATATTACATGAACACATAAATACCAGCTACAGGAAATCTAGTTACATATTAAAAAATATGTCTTAAGCAAGATCTCGTAAGTTAGCTGCCCAAGAACAGTGCCTGTCAGGTAAGTGTTGGGCTGCTTACCATAAGGCCAGTGGTTCAAAAGTATCTTAAGTGGTTGATTATTCCAACTTGAGGGTGAGTTCAGTCTCAACCTACAGGTCGGGGACTAAGGACTAGAGTCTTGGGGTTCCCATCAGTCTCTATCCAAGACCAATAAGCCTGGGTTCTCATGATTTTGAAGTGGTTCCACTTTTTCCTTCCACTCTTCCCAGGACTTTCTACTGGGATCCCTTTCAGAGCAGCTGGTAGTGGTAGCTGGGTACCATCTAGTCCTTCTGGTCTCTGGGTCACAGAGTGTGTTAGTCTGGGTAGACTAGAGAGACAAATCCATGGACACACATTTGTATATAAGGGAGAGGTTTATATACAAGAGGAATTGAACATTGAGAAAACATCCCAACCCAGTCCAGTCCAAGGCCATAAGTCTGATATTAGCCCATATGTACGATACCAATCTAGAAAGTCCTCTTCAGACTCATGAAACACATGCAATGAAGCCAAATGCAGGAAGATCACAAGCCAGTGGGTAGAAGGCCTTTGGGTCTGGTGGCGTTGTAAGCATCTCAGTGCTGGCAGGGGTCTCTCTGTGGCTTCTCTGGCTTCCGAGGTCTGGTTGCATCCATGTGGCTTGTCTTCTGCAATGTCTCCCAGGGAGTAGCAGAAGAGAGAGGTGTCTTCTGCCTCCAAGGAGGAAGTACCAGATTTC